CCCACTTGCAACCAAATATAAGAATCTGAAACTTCTCGTAATCAAACATCCAAATGCGCTCGATAACCCCAAAATATGACAGATTTGCAAATTTTGGGTTTAAGTCCTTCACACTTGATATATGCATTGCTTCAGTGATCAAGGTGACACCACTATTTTGCATAGTACTTTTGTCATCCTGTTCTTTGGTATAAAATGTGTATCCATTAATTACATATGCGCTATAAGAAAACACAACTAAACTTGGACCGTATGCTAAACATCTCAATCTTTCTGTTACTGAAGCATGATCTGAACGATACTTTGAATAAATATGTTCCTTAAACCATGGTATGAAACTTCAATTGTGCTCTCGTACAATCCAATTCTCATTTCTATTCAGATTTAAACCTCGAAGAACACCCTTGTGAATTTCAACATACGACTCAACTTCAAGCTCATTATGCAGAACATACAAATGCACTTGATCCCGTTCGACCATTAATACTGTCACAACTTTATTTCCAATTAGCTTCTTACCTTCTTTTTTTTCCAACAACATGAGATTTGGGGAGTCCAATTGATTGAACATTTGACAGATATTCAGTACAAAACTCAACCGCTTCTTCAACAATATATCGTTCAGCAATACAATCCTCTGGTCGACTTCAGTTTTTCACATACCCTTTTAATATTTTTCATATAACGTTCAGTAGGGTACATCCATCTCATATAAGCTGGTCCACACAATTGTGTCTCTTTGACAAGATGAACGACAAGATGAACCATTATGTCAAAAAATGAGGGAGGGAAATACATTTCAAGATCACACAAAGTAACAACTATTTCTTTTTGCAATGTTGGTAAGATCTCAGGATCGATCACCTTGCTGCAAATTGACTTGAAGAAAAAACACAGTTTAGTTATTGAGCTTCTTACTTTTTCTGGAAGAATAGAACGTATATCTATCAGTAGAAAATGTTCCATTATAACATGACAATCATGCGTCTTTAAACTCTTTAACTTGAGGTCTTGCATAGACACAAGTCTTATAATATCTGATGAGTAGCCTTCTGGAACTTTAACCTCACTTAGGAACTTACACAATATTTTTTCTCCTTTCTGGATAAAGTGTAAACAGCAGGTGGTAGATATGTTCGTCTTCCTTTTTTCACGGGTCCCAATTCAGTTCTTATTCCCATCTCTACCATGTTCTCCCTTGCTTTAAGACCATCCTTAGACTTCCCTTTTATATTGAGTAACGTACCAATAACACTGTCAAATACATTTTTTTCAATATGCATAACATCAAGAAAATGTCTTACGTACAAAGATTTCCAATATGGCAATTCAAAAAAAATAGACCTCTTCTTCCACCCACCTGTAACAACTTTATGTGCAAAAGGCTTGCCAAACTGAATACTCACATCTTTCACCTTTTCAAATAATTGATCACCTGTCAATCCAGGCGGAGCTCTACGTTGTTCGGTATCTCCGTTGAACGCTTTTCTCCATCCACGATATTGATGTTTAGAATTTAAGAATCTACGATGACCGAGAAAGACATTCTTCTGACAAAGTTTTAATCGCATCGTATCGGTTCCATCTTCACAGATAGGACACGCTTTTTCACCTTTAATGCTATACCCGGATAGATTTCTGTAGGCTGGAAAATCGTTAATTGTTCCAAACAACATCGCCCTCAAGTTGAAACTTTCTTTCCTATACCCATCATAAACCTCCACACCGTTCTCCCACAAAATCTTCAAATCTTCGATTAAAGGTTCCAAATATACGTCTATGTCATTTCCTGGTTGTTTAGGCCCAGAAATTAACATAGATAACATCATGTACTTACGCTTCATACATAGCCACAAAGGTAGTTATAAATCATAAGAATCACAGGCCATGTGCTATGCAAGATACTTTGAATACCGTGTGGGTTCATTCCATCAGTAGACAATGCCAAGCGAAGGTTTCTTGCTTCTTTTCCAAATTCAGGATAATCATTATCAATTTTCATCCACTGTGGTGAATCTGCCGGATGTCGAAACTTTCCATCAACAATTCTTTCATCTGCATGCCAAGTTAAGTGTCTTGAATCGGTTTCACTACGATACATCCGTCTAAATCTCGGAATTATAGGAAAATACCATAAGACTTTTGCCGGAGACAACTTTTTATTATATCGAGGGGCACCGTATTTAGGACACTCATTTAACGATGCATACTCGTTTTGAAAAAAAACGCAATCTTTTGGACAAGCATGTATCTTGTCATAGCTCATGCCAATAGAGTACAACATCTTTTTGGCCTCATACGTTCGATTGGGGAGAACATTATCCTCTGGTAGCATATCTTTCATAAGGGCTAATAACTCTGTGAAACTTTTATCCGACCATCCATTGCCCGCCTTTAAGTTGTACAACTTTAATACCACAGACAATCTTGTGAATTTTGTACAACCATTATACAACGGTTTCTCTGCATCGCTTACCAACCTCTCGAACATTTTGGGACAATCATTAAGATCTTCTTCAAGCGCTTCTGCAATCTCTTCAACTCGATCATAATCGTATGTATCTGTGCCATTGTCGTTTGAAGCATACGTCCTATTATCCCCCGATTCATCATTCCCGTCACTTTTCTCACCATGCATATTCCAACATGTATAACTTCTATCAATTCCATACCGTATTAAATGCGATGCCAACTGAACCGCGTCAACCCGATTCCCATAACAACAACACAAACAAGGACATGTCATTCGACCAGGGTCTTCGGTGTGCGCAACAACAAACTTAACGAATTCTGATACCCTGTTCTCGTACTCTTTCGACAATCGATTGGAATACATCCATGTCTTATCCATGGTTTACGGTTTCTGAGTCAATCTGAGCTAAATGATAAATTAGAAAACAAAACCAATACTCAAAACTTGCACTTGCTTTTGCACAACCATATAACAAAACCAATACTCAATACTTTTCACTAAATTCATTTTATTCTATCAACTACTTTAGTACACAAGTATAACACAAGAAACCATAAACAAGAAACTATCATTGCTCAAAATCAATCATAAAAAACACACGAAAAAAACAATATATTAATAAAGTTAACAATATATATATGGCTACCTTTATTAAATATTTTGTTACGCTCTCTATTATTTCTCTCTTAACTTGTTTTACCAATGCACAACTTGTTAATATAAATGATGTTTGATAAAATAAAAAGCACATGAAAATGTGTTATTTTCTACTAATATTTATTCCATAGAAGTTGTAAAAATAATCTATATTCATAATATGTGAGGTATTAGCCAGTAGCCACACAAATAAGTTGAAAATTAAGATGAGTTGTCAGTTCAAATATGTAACAATTTCTAAGAATTATTAGAAGATAGTCACATCTTTATTCATACAAAACTATTCTAGAAATTAGAATCAAAGCAAGCATAAAACAATTTATTCATACAAAACTATACTAGAAATTGAAATACATAGAGCTGAGTTGTGTAACTTTGTGTTGTATATTGTTGTGATTTTTGATGCAGCAAACTTTGTGATTTCACCTTGCGTTTCTCCTGTGGCAAGTGGTGGTCGTTGTTCTGATGAAAGAGTACTGATGAACAGAGGCGGAGGTCCTGATAAGGAAGTCCTGAAACTGCCCCCGGTGGTCCTGAACAAGAAGACGGAGGCAGAGGTCCTGAACAAGAAGACAGTGGCAAATGGTGATCGTGACAAAAATCTGCTCGTAGATGCTAACGGCGGCAGAGCTCTGGTTTAGGGCTTTGATGATTTCGTGAAGAACAATAGAAAAGTGATGATACGAATTTTTGATAATTATTATAAAACTACCTACGAAAGCGCTTTTAAAAGCGCTTTCTAAAGGTCACCTATAACAACGCTTTTTAATGTAAAAGCGCTTTCGTAGCATATCTTATAGCAGCGCTTTTAAAAGCGCTTTCTAAAGGCCAGCTTTAGCAGCGCTTTGTAAAAGCGCTTTCTAAGGCTAACCTTTAGCAGCGCTTTTCAAAAGCGCTTTCTTAAAGTACCCTATGAAAGGCACCCTTTAGCAGCGCTTCTCAAAAAGCGCTTTCTAAGGGTGACCTTTAGCAGTGCTTTTGAAAAGCGCTTTCTTAAGGCATACTTTGAAAGCGTTTTTTTTAAGCGAATTTTTTAAAAAACCTACAGCAGCGCTTTTTCCTAAAAGCGCTTTCGTATGTGTGCTGCTAAAACTTATTTTTGGCGTAGTGTTGTGTAATAGTATGAGAGATGTCATACCATTCATATATGCATTGAATGAATAATAATTAATAAAATTCTATGATAATGAATGAGTTTAAACCTAGATATTAGTTAGAATAATATTGGAAGTAAAAATGAACTTAGGTTATGATGAATAACTTAAGTTGTTGTGCTCGATTGTGAAAGGGGTACCTAGGTGTATACTCTCCCTATAAAACATCGCTCTGGGCATGACCTTTGTGTGATAGGGGGTTTGACCCTTAAGAGGGACATATATAATACCGTTGGCCCCACTATTAACCGCACGAACAAAGTCATACCATGACTTCCTAAGAAATAGACAATCAACAATTTTTCACCTCACCTGAGTTGACCTCTCAACATCCCTAAACATGGTCTCTCAACATCGTGAGAAAACCCTAACCATCCTTAACTACAAAGACATCTATGTACCATGTGCTCATATACTTTTTTGACAAGTAAAAAATAAAACACCAAAACCTTTAAATCAGAAAAATGAGGGACTAAAACCCTAATTGTTTGGATTGAATTTCCAAAATTAAAAAAAATAAAAGTGTTAAAATTGCAAAGTTAAAAAAATGTGTGGATAAAAATCCCAAAATAAGTAAAATAAAGTAACCAAACAATTTGGAACGCATAAACCCCTGAAAAGATTAAACCCTGCACAACACCACCCCCACATAGCCGTCGTATACTCTCCATCCGCATTCACCACAACTCTCCGATTGAATTTCTCCATCGGATAAAATGGAAGAAGAACACGTAGAGACATTCAACGACGGTTCAGACCTCTGCCAGCAGCTCATGGACCGTTACGCCAAATCCCCAGCCCCGCACCACCGTCACCTCCTAGCCGCCGCCGCCGCTCTGCGCTCCAATCTCTCCTCCGAGTCCCTCCCCCTCACGCCTTCCGCCTATTTCGCAGCCGCTATCTCCACCGCGTCGTCGTCTGAGTCCCTAGACTCCGTATCACTGTCCTCACTTGTGTCCTTTATGGCCATCGCGCTTCCACTGGTGCCAGCCGGAGCCATCTCTGAGGAGAAGGCTCAGGAGGCGGCAGAAATCGTCGGTACGCTTCTGGTAAGAGAGGGGGAGGGGTTAGGTGTTTCTAGCTTGAGGGCTGCAGTGAAGTGCGTAGGTGTTTTGCTTGGGTTTTGTGATTTGAAGTATTGGCATTCTATTAAATTAGGGTTTGAAACTTTGCTCCAGTTCTCCACTGAGAAGCGCCCAAAGGTTTTTCCTCTACTTATAATTGATATCCATATTATACATGGGTTTTGAAACTTTGCTTGTTTGTATAGGTTCGAAGATGTGCTCTAGAGTCTCTTGACAAGTTTTTTCGGTCTCTCGAATCCTCCGCTGTTATTAAGGAAGCTAGCAAGTTGGTTCTGTCTGAACTGAAAAGGTGCATTGATTTAACATTGAAATTATCTGCTTCAAGGACTGCTGATGAATGTAAAGATAAAGGCACCTCAAAACACGAGCACTCAGAAGTCCTACATGTACTTAACATAGTAAATCTGGTTGCTCCTAATCTTTCTCCAGAAGTTGTTTCAGAAGTTCTCTTTGAAGTGCATAGATTATTTGAATCTCAGATCTCGGCGCTTACAAGGCATGTCCTTAAAACTGTAGAAGCTGTTTTTGAAACTTCGAGAGTCCGAGTTATAGATCTAGAGATAGAGGACATTGTAGTTTCTCTTGCTTCTTTTGTATCTTTGGGTGATAAGAACCCATTGGATACTGTGATATTTGCAGCAAACGTATTAAAACTTGCAATGGACTTACTTTATACTGGACAATCAAGCTTGTGGATCAAGAACCTTCCTCTAGTTTGTCAATCTATGATCGGTATGTATGGTGCTTCTATGTTCATTCCTTATAGAAAGCATTGAATTGTGTAATTAATCTAGTTTGGGTTTTTAATTCTGATTATTTTATTTCACCTGGTTGTGTTTAGAACCATCTTTCTTCTGATTTTTCTTTTAGCAGAAAGTGTTTTGGATTACCAATTTGTCACGTCAATGCATCTATAATTAAAAATAGAAGATATATTAGTAGTTCCTCTATAAAATATTTTTCATGTACCCGCAGTGCATTGGTTGGGGTTTTTCCCCATGGATACCTGCTGCAGCCTGCAGGGACTTTTTATGGCATGCTGTGTCTAGTTCTAAGTATAAAATTTCTGTACTATGTACGAATATATGAATATACAGTAGTGTCTAAATAACTTGCTACTGATTAATGTTAAAATCTTAGGTGTTGCTGATAATGTTAATATGGAGATATTGTAATAAAATGGATCTTTTTCATGTAAATTTTTTAGTATTACTGCTTTCTCTTTCCTTATATTCCATTTTCTATATCATAATGTTCTTCTAATTCAATCTGTAAATGTTGAACATAGGGCTTCTAACTTCGGAGGCAAACACTGCATCTCAGGCTTCAAGTATCTTAAAAGATGTGCTCAAGCACCTTCTTGGTTCCAATATCTTATTAAATAGTACATATGAAACATTTCGCGATGATAGTTCGCTAAGTTCAGAAGGCGATGCAATAAAATCAACATGTGCAGTTTTTGAGAGCACCCTCTCTGCTACTGATGGGCTACCAAATGAGCTTCTTTTGTCAGTCATATCTCTTTTGTTTCTTGAGCTTGGTATGAAACTGTCTATCACCATATTAGCACACTGTAGATGAAATATCTTTTCAAATTCTTGATCTACGTAATTGGTTGTTAGTATATATACTCAATGGCAGTTAAGGAAGTTAGTTCTTGTCTCACTTTGGTGTTCCGCGCATGTTTTAAAAGTGTTGATGTTACAATACCATTTCAAACCTCTTAGGCTCACTGTTTTCTTTTTGATTCTTATAGTAGCTGGTTATATTGTCCACCACCTTCATTATACTTTCTTTCTTCTCTCTCTCTTATTAAAGTTTTTTGTCAAACAAATATGTTAGAATAATTTATAATATTCTAACAAAATAAAAAGAAATAACACTGGATAGTCTCTTTCTATCTGTTTGATTATCCGTGTCTTTCCCTGTTATTTTTTGAGGAGATAATGCCGTGTTTGGTATTGCACTTCTCTTATTTATCTATACCAAGTTTTCTTGATTAAAAGAAATTTATAATCATACTCATTTCATCCCGGTCTTCTCTTTGTAATCTTCGTTGGTTGCAGGAGAATTCTCATTTGAATTCATGAGGAATATTGTGCTTAAACTTGCTGACTTGATGATTCAAAACCCCGATGGCAAGGCTAATAATGAACATGTAAGTTCTGGTGAAAGATTATTTTGCTGTATTGGCTGTTTCCACATTGATCTAGATGTTTGATATAATGATCATGTCGTGTATTTCTCCATTATGTGTTGTTTTCCCCTCATTTTAAAGTTATGGGGTAGTTCAACTTAGGAAGTTAAAACAAAATTGTCCGTATACGGTTTAGGAAATCCTCACCTCTTGAGCTAATGTTTTGGGTTGTTAGATTTAAAGTCCAAATTCCAAGAGTTAAATATGACGGAACATAACATAACATAATAATTTTGCTGTGTCGAATGTATTTTAAATAATAATAGCACCCATGAGGGTATAAATTTGTACTTTTTGGTTCCACTAAAAGTATCGAATCAAGAAGAATAGAACATAACAAGTTAATTCTAAAATATAAGTTAATTCATGGCTCAACTTAGGAAACCCTCCATTGGTATAGTGACTATTTCAACTTATACTTTCTAAACATTGATTACTGTTGTAGTACAAGACTGCAAGATATATTTGAAAAATATTCAGCAATTTAATACTCTGTCATAATATGTTTCCATAGTAGTTTTCATGTTTCCTTTTTTTTCAAGAATTGTTTCCTTATTTAATCAGTACTAAGAGTTTAATATGGGTCTGTTTGGATGAACAATTTTGCAGAGGAGGGGAAGACTTATTTTTCTTTTCTAAATTAAGGAAACTATAAAATGTTAATAAAAATGAATTAAGTGTCATTGAAATGTTATATGATCATCTATTATGTTATTCTTTAATTTGTTAAAATCTCAAATGTATACCTGGCCCTCTAAAAACCCTTACTCCAAACATACCATTGCCATAGATAAGGATAATTTTCCTGTCTCTTATAATGACATCTAATATATTGCTCACTTTCATACTAATATAATATAATTATATTATTTTGAAAATTATTCCCTCCCTCTATACCTAAAAGGCTAAGTTGCCTGCTTGTGTTGGAAGGGTGCTGCACACTTTTTGTGAGACATGAATTTTTTTTCTTGGTGGGCTATATGTCCATTGAGAGGCTTTGGGATGCATACATAAACATGACCTAAAACCCTTCAATTTCCGGCCTCTGACTTATGCTGTCTCTATTCTGCTTTTGAGTTCCCTAAAATCTAGAACTCTACTAAATCAATCTCTATCTCCATATTTTTTCCCTTCTCACTGGCCTTGCAAAAATCCTGGATACCGTTTTGGTCTTGACTTTTGTCCCAGTTATTGTTAGTCACTGTTGTTTGTGTTCTGGTACAATATAAAGTAAAGCTACTCTACTGATCACTGTTTAATCTTGTTTTCAATGTTATGCAGCTTCAGAAATGTATTGGGTCTGCTGTTTTTGCTATGGGACCTGAGAAATTTCTCACACTTGTACCTCTCTCTCTTGATGAAAACAACTATACTTATTCAAATATTTGGCTAGTACCAATCTTAAAGAAGTACATTACTGGAGCATCACTTGCTTACTACATGGAACATATCATGCCTCTTGCAAAGTCCTTTAAGAAGGCTAGCCGTAAGGGTATGTTGCAACATGTTGAACATCTTTATCTATTGATAGCAAGTGTTTTCTTTTTATTATGTTCCTGTACTGCTCTACACCACTTTCAGCATGGTGTTGTATTTTTCAAATCCTTTTCTTTTCACTTAAAGATGGAGGAAGCTGGTAAGGATTTTCTTACCGATGGCTATCAGACCTTGTCCGTTTGGGTGTTTTGGCTATTTCTGGAAAGTGATAATAAATTTGTTGATAATTGATTTTGTTTTTACAAATTTGTACTATAAGAGAGAAAATTAGTTTAGGTTTTCATGATAGTATTTAGTGTTGATTGCAAAAAATGATGTAAAATAAATAGGGGTATGTTGATAAAGAAATAATTAATGCATTTGAAAATTCAAAGAGTATACTAAAAAGGGACAAAAAAAATTCTCAGAAGGGTCTTATATTTAGGGATGGAGGTCGTATTAAATATCATTGGTCTCAATAAGAAAAAGATAATTTAAAAAATATAATTAAAATAACTTAAAAACAGAAAAAGATGATTAAAACTGAGCATAAACAGAAAAGTTAATTTAAAAACAGAATATGCTTTTAAACAAGAGCAAGAATTAAAACAGAAAAATAAATTTAAAAAAATGAAGCAAGTATAGAAAATATATGAAAACAGAAAATGCATAAATTGAACAGAAACTGTAATAATAATAAAAGAAATAGAAGAGAAATGAAAAAATAAGCAAAGAAAGAATGAAATATAGAAAAAGGTGGAGAAGAAAACGAAGGAAAAAAATAAGCAAAGAAAACACCAATAAAACAAACAGCAGAGAGAAGCGAGAGGTGGTTGCAGACTGGCAGAGAGCTTGTCGGAGTTGGTCGGTGGTGCAGTCCTACACAGAAGAGATGGAGAGAACAAATAGGAAAGAGAGCAGAGAGGTAGAAAGAAGAGCGGATAGAAAAGACAGGCATGAAGCCATTTTTTAGGTTTTCAACACTTTTTGGACTTGGGTTTAGATTTTAACACATGTTCGGCTTGTGTTCAGCGGGTCACAGGACCTAACCAATGTTTCTCCGCCAAGCCGCCATGTCTTACTCCATCGTGGCGGTCAGTTGAAATCCCACCACTGATATCTGCCATGGTGCCTCCATGGCTGAAATTGAACAACCCAGTTCAACTCGTAACCATTTCCATTTTTTAGGATGGACTTCCTTATCGTGCAAGGGCAATGATTGGTTGTAGATCAAGCCAACAAGAAATTTCCCTCTTCCCCTTGACTCTGGTAGCTTTCCAATGTCTTCCACATCAAATCCAGACCAGGCGTGGCACATTGAGTCCAAAAAATTCTTTTTCTGCTCATCTTGGAAATATTTGCCTAAGACCAAATTGAATGAACAAGGTTGGTAATCAATTATCTCATGAATAAAGCATTAGAAAATTTAATCATTAGCAACAACATTCTTGCCCTTCAAGCAGTTACATTGTCAGTAACAACTTACACTCATTTGCATTCCAATCTCATCCATATTCTCAATTAATGAATTCCATTCCCTAGCCTTATCTAGGTTGTCATTGGTATGCTTGACCTTTGCAACTGAACCAGTTGAGGGAACGGGCTCCTGAAAGTTGTTGCATGAGATGATGCCATGGTTGAGTAGAAACTGAGGCGAAAAACATAGAGAACAGAGGTGAAAAAAACAGGGGAGAGAAACTGAACTGAGAAGGGAACAGAACATGGCTGTTACTACTGCTGCTGCCTTTGCTGTCGCCAGAATTAATTGTCATCATAACTAAAAATGAAGAGCAGGAAAGCAGCTGGGTTTTTGCCTAAACGCAGAGAAGAGGCCGGGTCTTCGTAAATGAGTGGGAGTTTGGCTGCTTAAAATTATAAACTAAAGTGACTCCTTTAAAAAATATTTTGAACATATATGAAAGAGGGTAAAATGGGTATTATTTCAAATCCTAACCCCTTAAACTGCCTCAACAAGCCATTTTCCCTTTAATTTGCGGCCACAAAATTCTAACAGACCAGCGTTTAGAGTCGCATCAGACTCCAGTTCTTATCCGTGATACTGTGGTCACCCGCTATTGAGAATATAGTTCAAAAAAGTAACTGAACAATCTATTTCCGTTTTGTATGGGGGAAAAATAGTAAAAGGAAATTAAATTTTGACAATTAGTCATTTTGGGATATTACTATGCTAAGAGAAAAGTATATTGTCTTTAAGTTTTGTCTGTTGTTCCATTCTCACTTCAGATAGTTTTCCTTAAGCTGTTACTATTAAACATGCAATCTCTATTTTATGACATAATAACTAATTTCGTCAAATTCTTGAGCCAACATTTTCTGGTTTCTTTCCAGTCAATAAGTCAGAGGTTAGTCAAGATCTGCTGGTTCATGCCCATGAATTGTGGGGTTTGCTTCCTAGCTTCTGTCGTCATGCAACTGATACATATCAAAGTTTTGCTCGTTTATGTGATGCACTGTATACTTTTCTTAAAAAGGATGTCTCCATGCATGAAAATGTTTCAACGGCATTACAGGTCACATTTCGTAAATTGGTGGTGGGCTTTGTACTGGTGCCTTATTTGTTTGTTTTTGCAACTGACTTTGCATGTACATGTTCTTTTATATGTAGATTCTTGTGAACGAGAATAAAGCTGCACTTGGTCCTAAAAAGAACGGGCCTGATTGTGATGCAGAACATAATTCTTCATTAGAGATCAGCATGCTACCCGCTTCTTCAAAGAAAGTTACTTATTCAAAGAAAGTTGCTACCAGAAACATAAAGGCCTTGGGATTGCATTCAAATCAGTTGCTTCTTATTTTATCTGATTTATTTATCAGTTCACTTCCTGAAACACGCATTTCCTTAAAGGTTTCACATTTTTCAATTATTTTGCAGATTCTCCCTTTGATAGAAATTGTAGAAATATGTTTGTATATTTCATATCTGTTGATAATACATAAGATGCATATATAGTACATAGGGCTGAGAGGGATGAACTAATTTAGCCCAGAAATTAAGGGAATAATTATTCCTATAAATGCTAAAGATTAAATGTGATAAAAACACAACAGACAGCTAATTAATTTACATAAAACTAGCCTAGAAATTAAGGGAATAATTATTCCTATAAATGCTAAAGATTAAATGTGATAAAAACACAACAGACAGCTAATTAATTTACATAAAACTGCAGTTATAATATATACAAAACAGAATCTGCACAATAGATTATTTTCTGATCTTCAACATTCCCCGTCAATCTGGGTGGTAGATATCTATCATACTCAGATTGGATTTGATATTCTCATATATGATCTTCGGAAGAGCTTTGGTAAGAATGTCTGTTGTCTGTTGATGTGATGGAACATGATCAATCCTTATAATTTCCTGATCAATTTTCTCCTTTATGAAAATGTCTATCAATTTCCACGTGCTTTGTTCTATCATGCTGGACTGGATTTTTCGCAATGCTTATAGCAACCTTGTTGTCACATAATATCCTCATTGTGTTGTCAGTGGGAATTCTAATTTCATCAAGCATCCGCTTTAGCCAAATTCCTTCACAATTCATTGTGTTGTCAGTGGGAATTCTAATTTCACCGAGGGCATGGTTTGACAGATTGACCAAAGTTGTCAAGCAAAATGGTTTTGTTCAATGCCAAAAAGACCATACTATGTTTTTCAAGCACTTGGTATTCTGAATTTTTAGTTGGATATAAGTGTGATTGCTCCCCTTGAATGCCAACTTTGGTGTAATAGGGCTGATTTTCAAAGAAAGTGATATCCATAGTATGGTAGAATTTTTTTGTTTGGAGAGAGTAACATCTATATCCTTTTTGGTGAGGAGAGTAGCCAAGAAAGATGCACTTGATGGATTTTGGATCTAGTTTACTACGGTGAGGATCGACATTATGGATAAAAGCGGAACATCCAAATATTTAGTGGAACGGAAGAAAAGATCTTGCTGGTTGGGAAGAAGGTTTGAAGTGTGGAAATAAGGGTTTTAAAGTCAAGGATACGAGAAGGCATTCTGTTTATGAGATGTATTGCCGAAAGGATAGCTTCTCTCCAAAACTGTTTTGGAACATTACCGGCTAGCATGATTGATCTAGTTACTTCTAAGAGGTGTCTATTCTTCCTTTCCGCAACTCCATTTTATTGGGGGGTGTCCACACACGAGCTTTGGTGAACAATTCCAACCTTTTGGAGATAGGAATTTAAGAAAAGGTTATAGTACTCACGACCATTGTCGGTTCTGAGTACTTGAATCTTGCTTTGAAATTGTGTTGGTACCATGTTATGAAAAATTTCAAATATTCTCACTACTTCTGATTTTTCCTTCACTAGAAACACCCAAGTGACGCGTGTGTGGTCATCGATAAAGGCGACAAACCACCTCGAGCCAGTAATGTTGTGAACTCGAGATGGTCCCCATACATCACTATGAATTAATGAAAAGGGTTTCGATGGTTTGTAGGGTTGGAGCGGGTAATGGTTGCGGGTATGTTTAGACAATTGGCAAACATCACACTGAAACTGCTTTTGGTTTTTATTAAATAATGAGGGAAAAATCTTTTCCAAGTATCTGAAACTTGGGTGGCCTAATCTATAATGCCACAACATTAGAGAATTCTCACTATTTGAACTGTTGCTGCCACATAAGAGAGCTCCTTGGATTTTCTTCTGTTTTTTTTAACTTGTAGGAGGTAGAGTCCTGCACACTCTTCAACATTGCCAATCGTCTTCCCCGACTCCAAAATCTGAAATTCACACAAATTAGGGAAGAATTTAGCAACACATTTCAAATCTCGGGTAATCTTACTAATGGACAACAAGTTACAATCGAGTTTTGGCACATATAGAACTGAGTCAAGAGTAATATTTTGAGAAATAATAAATGATCCCTTACCCATGACCTTAGAATGAGTCCCATCAACTATCCGAACAGTATAGTTATAAGGATAAGGAGAATAACTACTAAACAACGTAAAATCACCAGTCATGTGATCTGAAGCTCCTGAGTCAATGATCCATGACTCTGTTTCTTCTTTTCTAGTGTTTAGAGCATATAGATAATTACCTTTTTGGGCAACATTAGCAGTACCAACTTTTTCTGCAGATAGCATAGTCTGCTGAAGGAGTTTTTCAATATCATCCATTTGTTCTTGGCTGAATGGAGACGAGTTAGAATTTACCTCGACTTCTCGATGGTTAAAGGTTGTGTTACCTTTTTCTTCCTTCCTTTTGAACTGATTGGCTTCCAAAGGTTTTCCATGTTTGATCCAACATGTTTCCTTGGTATGGCGGGGCCTCTTGCAATGATCACACAAGGGACGGGATTTTCCGTCGTATGAGCTGGTCGGAAAAGATCCAGTCTCCATCTTGAGTGATGTGTTAATTTTTGAGTCGTCCATGGTTTGACGACGCTAATTTAGGGATGGTTCAGATCGTGCTCTGATACCATGTAGAAATATGTTTGTATATTTCATATCTGGTTGATAATACCTAAGATGTATATATAGTACATAGGGCTGAGAAGGATGAGCTAATTTAGCCTAGAAATTAAGGGAATAATTATTCCTATAAATGCTAAGATTAAATGTGATAAAAACAAAAGAGACAGCTAATTAATTTACATATAACTGCAGTTATGATATATACAAAACAGAATCACAACAGATTCTTTTCTGATCTTCAACAGAAATCAAAGATGAACTTTCCATTTCTGTTATAACAGAATTCTGTTATTGTAAAAGTTAGTTACAAGAGGTGATACACAGTTGCATTTATAGTAGCAACTTGTGTGATCTGCTATAGCAGGTCAGCTACTGCTCTAGACTTGACACATGTCAGTCATTTACAAGGCTATTCTAGTATTAATACTTCTATTCTTAACTCTACTCTAATACCCCTGTAGTCTGATACCATTCTCCTACCCTCTTTTTTCTTGAAAATATATGAATACACTCTTTTGTACCATTTAATATGATTTTGGAGAATTTATAGGCTGAATATTATTCTTTTACTAATAATCCCTATAACATGAGTTTGTAAATAATTTGAATTTTTTGGCACTTTTATAGGGTGCAATCAGGTGCCTAGCTTCGATAACCGATTCTTCTGTAACCAGAGACGTTTTTATGTCTCTGCTCAGGAGGTTTGAAATCGTAGATTGTGAAGGTGAAAGTGAAGTATTGACGACTAACGGTAAAGCCTTGGAAATTGAGCCAAGTGATGAGAAGAGATGTTCTCAAAGGTGAAACTAGTAACTTATATATACATATTTGTTATATATACATATTTGTTCTAATGTCAATTTTCTTATTTATTGGCGGCTTTAAATATGATTGAGCTTTACATCATCTTAAACTCTATAGCAAATTGAATCCAGACCATTTAAAACTATCTCATGTTTTGCAACTTATAATTATATAATTGATGACAAGCCTGAGTCTTGTTATGCTTCAGGTGTGCAATAATGGAAATAGCATTCTGTCTTGTTGAAGGAGCCAATGATAATCTTGTTGAGATGATTTATAATTTAACTGTACATTCATTTCAGGTATTTCTCAAAGGTTGAGCAATAATCTATGTGTTATAGTACTTTTGAATTCTTTTGACAAGCATATAATTTTGAAAAATAAAAGTTAATGTATGTTTGGTATATAGGCAACAAATGAGAGTGTTCGATATGAAGCATACAACATTTTGAGCAAAATTTTGGAGGTACGCTTTGTGCAACATCTTTTTCTGTTTTATTTTCTTTTGTTATACATGTCAGTATTTTATACGTGTCGGTATTTTCGTTTGATGGTGCAGGAGCAACCAGGCTATTCTTCACCTAAATACATCGAGCTAATTGATTTATTACTTAGTGTAAAGCCTCCAACCGCAGTTACTTCTCTAAGAAGCCGGTTTGCTTGTTTCAACATTCTGATGGTACAAATTGTGAAGGTCAGACATCTTGATTATGATATTATTTCGGTTTTGATATGTATTATTTTTCAATCTCTGTAAATCTTAGATGAGGCTGTGCAATTTTCTAGAATATGTTTTGGCTTCTATGTGTGAGTCTTTGGATATTAGTATTTCCACTTCAGAAGGGACCACATATCTTTTCTGAGGCGGGTCATTGCACGTTTAAAGTTTGTTGGAAATAAACACCCTGTATGTTTTTTTTTGGTAGTAGAAATCCATTTTCAGCCTTAAGCTCCTCCCACTGCCAAGTTCTAAAGTACTTGTTTTACCCATACCCTGTTTATAAAAAATATCTGGACTCAGACCCATATGGTATGCTAGAATCTTAGACATGATCAGTAGGTAGTCAATAGCTGAAGATAGTGCCGCTATTGTGGCGACCACCGCCGCCGCAGCCCCAATGTTTTGCATATTAAGGGTGTGGGTAAAGCAGGCGATGTGGTGTGGCTAATGTTCTAATAATAATCTTTTGTGATTAATGCATCTTTAGAATATGTGTAGCATTTCATTTGCCTCTGGCTGAACTGTGAAAACTGGGTTAACAGATATACATTTTACATATATATGCATTAAATGTTTTGCAAGAGCCCGGTTCATTTGCATATTGGAGTCGTTTCTTTGAGACTTTCTTGGGAGGAAGTTCATAATAAGTTATTTTCATACTCTTTTTGTTTTTTTAATCTTTGAATGAGGGTGTACAATGTACATACCGCTTACTTACAGTTCAGCGGTCTTTTCTTGATATATATATGCATTCTGCAGATTAGCTTAGAAGAGGACGTCAACTCAAAGGCTTTTCTCATTCTCAATGAAATCATCCTCACATTAAAAGATGTAAGTTCAAGTACATAGTGTACACATTTCTTTTGTTAATTGGTTTAGCTTGGTCTACTATGTATAATGTATCATATTATCTTATCAACAAGGAGAGATAATAGCTGTGCTAAATCATACACAATGTTGCCTTGTAGGGAAATGATGAAGCTAGGAAAGAAGCTTGCGATTTACTCTTAAATATAAGTTCTAGTTTGAGAGACTTATCATGTGTTGGCCCGGTTGCACCATATCACAAACTAGTTAGCATGGTAAGTTCACTCTTGTTTTTAACTTAACTTGTTTTTATCAATCAAGTGTTACTGAATTTTCCATAATTATGTATTGTTTCCTTGTTAGGGGTAGCCTTGGTTCAACGGTAAGGTTGTTCCATTGCGACCCTGAGGTCATGGGTTCGAACCCTGTTGGAAACAGTCTCTCTGTTATAAAAACAGGGGTAAGGCTGCGTACATCCGACCCCCCCGAGCCCATAAAATGGGAGCCTCATGCACTGGATTACCCCTTTTTATGTATTGTTTCCCTGTACTGCTTTATGCCGACAATTTTGCAACCAATGCAATATCACACTATGTGTGCTTGGATGAACTTGTTTTATGTCAAAAGAAGTTCTATCATGCAATAATTGGAGTCGATGATTTGCATCTTCTAGAATATATTAATGAGTTATGGCTTCAATACTCTCAATACACAGATAATGGGATATCTTTCCGGTTCATCTCCCCATATAAAAAGTGGAGCAGTATCTGCGCTGTCAGTATTGGTATATAAGGATGCAAACCTTTGTCTCTCCATTTCTGATCTTGTCCCTTCTCTTTTATCTTTGTTGCACAGCAAAGATACGGAAATCATAAAAGTGAGTGTTACCGTACATTTTCAAGATCAAATAATTGTTTGAGCATATTTCTGTCTTCACTTAGAGTTTAATCTTCAATCTTACACAGGCTGTCCTGGGATTTTTTAAAGTGATGGTCTCTTGCTTAGAAGCTAAAGAGTTGCAGAGTATTCTCTCAGATGTTGTTGCTGAAATCATCCGCTGGTCATCTGTTTCAAGACATCATTTTAGAACAAAGGCATGTCTAACTTCTAATATTAAGTTTATAGTCTTGAGTATGCATACTGTGTGCGTACATAAGTACACCTGCACAACATGGAATCTTGCATCTATACTGGATTGAACCGCAAGAATAATGTTTTCTTGTTTGTCTGTAGGTTACAGTCATATTAGAAATATTAATTCGGAAGTGTGGTTCCGCTGCTGTGAGAATGGTTACCCCAGAGAAGTACATGGATTTTCTAAAGACGGTTTTAGAGGTACTTCTTTTAGTTCACATTTAGCCATATGTTATCTCATCATATCTAAAAGCATGGAAGTTGCTAACAGGGGCTTAGTTTTTTTTATCAAGAGCTCTTAAATGATCTGGGTTAACTTTTTATGGATAAAATTAATGAGGCATTAAACAGTATATAAACTGCATTTTTCATACACATTTATCATAATGAAACACAAAATGCTTTGTTCCTGGGTCAATTTCATAAGAGGTGTAGCTGCCGCCATCAGGTTGCATATGGAAGCTAAAATCATAATGTTCTGGCATTTATTTTTCTTTTTATCATTTGTCTTTTTATGCTTTAGGTCTATGTTTCATATTTACATTAGATCTTTAAATAGGACCCTTACCCTTTTGCAATTAAGCAGACTCAGTTACTCAAAGGAAAAAAGATTCTTTATATCAAAGCTGTAGCTACTTATGGAAAATGTTATTTTGTTTGGATTTTGTATTACGCTCGAGTCAGACTCATAGAACTTTGTAGTATTTCTAGATGGTGAACATCAGACTGATTTCTTGTTTGATAATTTTTTTATGTTGCCTATTGATGTGCAGAATCGACATGGCAAATCAAATGAAGCAGCTGCTAATGATACAGAAAATACACCTGAAGTTTCAGCTGCCAAAGGGTATGATTTTATTGCTTTTGAAAAAAATGTTGCTGATTTATTATTTCTTGGAAGCTGATTCATAGTCCTATCATCTATCCCTCTCCTTTGTAGGCCGGAGCGGAGGAAACATAATAACAGAGATACTCAAGAGAAAGACTCGTTTCAACAAAAAAAGAGAAAAAATAAATTTGAGAGAGACTTGTCAAGCAATAAGGGACCATCTAAGTCTACTAGCAGTGATGAATTCAGATTAGCCAAGAGAAGTAGGTATTCTAGTGATACAAATTCAAATATAAGGTCAGAAGGAACTAAAAAGGGGAATAAAAGCCAGTTCAGAAGTTTCTCTCAGGGTGATGGTAATAGAAACGAAAGGCTGGAAGGCGCGAAGAATAATAAAGCAGCCTCTAATGTAGGTAAAGGAGCTTCCAAATCAAACAAGTTAAAAAGGAAATTCAAAAGAAGTTGATAGATGATGGAATTGCGATATACTTAAAAGATGGTAAAGCAGTTCACATAGCATCGAAGTTGGTGTTTACTCTCTATTATTGGCTAAAATGTGGGATGTTTAAAGTGAAGTATTATAAGCAGGGTTATTTAAATGTGTTTCTTGCATAGCAAGTAATATAGAGAGGACTTTTGGCCATTTTTGTCGAGCTTCGATGCTCTAATAGGCCGAGAAAATGAAAGGCTTCTTACTGTATGCACATTCTTATGGTATTATATATATATATAAGCTCGCTTATGATATAGTAGTCCATACTCATTTTGTTGATCCTAAGCTTTTCTTTGTATAGCTATGTGGTGGTGGTTGTAGTTGTGCATTATATACATTATAGATATTTAAAACAAATCTTGATTTTTTAAATGTAAAAGAAATAGAACTTTAGTATCAATTATTCTGTCCAGTGCAAAACTATTATGTTTTTATCAAGAAAGTTCAAATGTCTCCACCACCAAATTTCAAATGTTATAAAAGTTTAAGTGTGACCATATCATGACCAGATAAATTTGTAGCATAGAAGCTCTTTATAAGGGGGAGAGTTCACCTCACAAAGGTAAGAAGAAATCGAAAGAGTTGCAGTTTCGCAATAGAAGACCGACGATAACTCAATTTAAATAATTGAAAAAAAACTATAATAATACAAAGTTTGCATTGAACTTGAATAACCAGTAAAAGTAATGGGTAGAAAAGTAAACCTTTTTTTAAACATTATTAGGACCCCATGTTCATCAAGATGTACTAATTAGTAATTATTTATTGATTGTTGACATATATATTTGGAACTAGATTTATGGATTTATATTCTTGGTAGTATGCATATCTCTTATTGAGAAAAATAAGGTTTGATCAGTAAAAATAATAATTAATCATATAACATTCTTTTTCAAATAGCTGAAATGACGGGGCTTTTAAGTTCTCGTCAAGTTGAAGAATTTAATCTGCCACCTTTAGTTATATTTGGCATCCTCATATTTAGAGTTTTTATTTTATTTTTATATCTTTTTTTAAAATATAGGTATTTTTAAAATATATTGTGATGTATCGGAAATTTGGTTTATTTACCGATAATTTGCGAAAAATTATATTTTATACTGAAACAAAGGTAACCTTTAGTTATATTTGGCACTCTCAATATTTAGAGTTTATTTTTATTGTTATATCCTTTTTTAAATACCAATATTTTCAAAATATATTGTGATGTATCAGAAATTTGGATTATTTATTGACAATTTGTGAAAAATTATATTTTATACTGAAACAAAGGTGAAAGTGCCTGTATTTTGGAATTTCCGATATACATATCGGAATTTTTAAAATCTTTGACAAAGACCTGTATTCTCTTAACAAAATTTGTGAAATTTCTTGTATTTATAAAAAAATTATGGAAATATGAAAATTTTGGTGGTGAGGTAAATTTTTCATTTTTTTCTTGCATTAATTTTTCTCGAATAACTTATTCAATAAAAACACTATATAAAATATATACATATAATAAAAATTGTGCTACATATAAGAATACAAAATAAATTAAGATGACTTTTTAATTTCGTATTCTTAGTGTCTAATGCGTCTTCTATAATGCTGATTTTCATACTTTTGTATCTTCAGTACAGTTTTGTCTCCAACATTCAGTAACTGGAGACAATGGACAATCATATTTCAGCTTTACATGAATCCAATGATTATTGTTGAGAAAATCAACAACAACAATTTTATGTCTGTTCGTATACATAGGTGGAGTTAAGGCAAGAGTGAAAATATGATGTTATTTTTTTTGGAAGGGAGACAAATACATATTAAAAATCGTCATCTATTTATCCATATCCTGGACACCTAAGTGTTCTACTCGTAACACATTTCCTAACTGTAGAGATCATGTCATAGAGAAAATTGGAAAACAAATGAGGTGTTGATAAACTTGAGTATCTAACTGGTCCAAATTAAGGACCACGACTCTTCGTCCCATCTAAGTAGAGCTGCAATAGCACAAAAACCACAACTTCCATCTTTATCAATATCAATAATGTCATCAATCTATGGGTATAAGAAATCAGGAAACTCAGACAAGTAAGCAAGTCTTGAAGATTTAGTGGAGGTTGAATTTCCGTTGTTTTTTGCATAATCTCTTCATAGTTTGACTCCCATACGAGCCCTTGACATACTCCCACTGTGAAGGAGCATGATGCACATCACTCTCTTGACCTTTTATACTCTTCTTAACTCTCCTCTTTGGTTTGTACTTCACTGACGGTGGACACATAAAAGTTGTGGATGAATATGTTAGTTTATGAATCTTTTTCTTCAACACCCTCTTGTCTATAATATCTAAAATACTGAAATATGTCTTCAGCTCTTCACATTCTACTTCTAAATTCAACTGTGGTGTACCACTTTCTTCATGACTGATCTCATGCTCTTCAATATGTAATTTCTTTCAAAATACATGAACTGATTCTAAAGAAACGTGATTTTCTTGTATTTAGAAAACAAGTTGACATGCACATAGTAATCTATGTGTTGTTCTAATGAAGCAACCACACACATCTTGGCTTGGACCAACAAATTTTACCCTTTCTAGTTTCTTTCCAATGTATTGAATACACTGTCTTGAAACAAAATTTTGCAAGTTGGCATAGTATAGCGTGTTATACCGTTGCTCAATATTGACAATACTTTTTCAAAACGACACTCTGATTGAACCTAGTTGTAAATTTAACATGGTGTTCACAACTGTTGTATCCCAAAATTTGCCCTATCTTTTCTCAAAGGATCATCCTGGATCCTCAGGTTTGCTTCTATCAAGTTTTGCCCTATCTTTTCTCAAATTATAATTCACAAGGGAAAAAATGGTCAATTGCAAACTAAAAAGTCAAACTTTGACTTTTGGATCAAAATCAAGTTTCAAGAATCATATTTCATCAAGGCATGTTAAAACATGAAGTTTGTTTCATCAAGGAAATTAAAAGTCAAGATTATGTTGAAAAAGTCAAAATTCTAAATACTTAGAAAATTTTCTAAGTGTTTAAGAAATATGATAAATTCATAACTTCTGGCCAGATTTTCACCATGATGCAAGTTGATTCTGGAAGAACTTCTAACACAAGAGCTGTAGATCCCAATGATATCTAAAATATTGTAGAACAGAACTTCTTCTAGAAATATTGGGATTTCAAGTTATACATTTTCAAAGACACGTCCCTGAAACGTAAACACTTAGTAAATTCTGAGCATTTTCAAATCAGAACTTGGTTATAATTTCTGGGCCAGTTTTTACGTAGGTTCAGTCAGAATTTGCAAGAGTAATTCAAAGAGGGTTTACAAAGTGTGTTATAAGCTTTCTGGAAAGACTGAAAACTCACTCAGAACATGCTGGAGCAAAGAGATTCAAAGATCAGAAGTTGAATGTTTATTCTAAGTTACGCTGATGCTGAACATCTGACTAAGAATTAAGCTATGATGCATAATCTCATATTGCAGAATTTCTGGTTTGATAAATATCATCATCATTTAATGCTCACAACTACTTTTGAGTTATTATCCAAATGATTTCCCCACGTGTGAGATAGAAGTACCATTGATGTCCTTGAAAAGAAAACTTCTGTACAAGTTTATGCTGGGCCCATGCTTTGTTTTTGCCTCTGAGGATACTTTTCCTTAATTCATGCTTACAAATCCAGCTTAGGCACGACTAAAAGCTGCTAACCACCATACTTGTTTAACTTGCTTCAAGAACAAGTCAGCGTCCTAGCATGATGGTTGTACTCTTCACTTCTCCAAGCTACAAAATCCTTGCCTATAAATTGAACTTCATTTGTAACTGTAAAGGGGTCGAGAAATTGAAAAGAAAAATCTTTGAAACCTTGCTAAAAATTCCAGGAATCCGAAACTGCAAACACAAATATAAGACCTGCTAGTTTTTTATTCTTGCATTCAACTCCAATTTCCCTTAAGTGTTTCTTGACCAAATCATCCATACAACTTCTGATATACATTTAGAAGTTGTCTTAACTTCTGTTTTCAGACTGTAACACGTTCTCCATCAGTCTCCACCTCAAAAAGACAGAACTTTTCTTCTTGGCTGTTCCAGAATTTTCCAGCCACTCATAGCCCAAGTTAAAGGTTGTTCCAGCCTACTGGGCATGTGAGGAAGCTGATCAGAATATTACAAGCAGTCAGAACCAGGCTCTAGTTTACAAGACCTTTTCCAGGTGCAAGGTAAGCTTATGATGACTCTCATCATATCCCTTAGGCATTGTTAAACTTGCATGTCCAAATACAATGTAGACATCCTGATTCCGATGTTGTACATATTCTGAGGTTTCATGTATTTTTTACCTAAGTAGGGTGAATATCAGTTCAGAACTTCTTAAGGAAATTAGGATTAGCAGATACATGCTTGTTTCTGATTTACAGTCTTGATATTTTTTATGTTTCTGAAACCATGATGGAAACCTGCCATAATTGCTATGTTTGTGTTTTCTGTTCTGCTGAGAAATGACTAAGTTGCAGATGTTCTGATTAGCATGGAGAAAGAGATGAAGCTCTTCATTAGAATTTACCTTGTATTACATGTTTATGCTTTTGCTTCTAATACCGGATGTACATCTACCTCAGTGGTAGAAAGCGGGCGCATAAGACATTAGTGCTAAGGGTCCTGGGTTCTAGCCCCAAAGGCATCTCTTTTTTTAGGTTCATTTGTTGACATTTTTACCCATTTATCTGTCAGACAATATCCCTAGATCAAAACTTCTAGATATCCACACCCAGCAGCATTATCACTTCACTTTGTCAAACAACCAGAACTTCTGACTTGCTAGTGATATTAGAACTTCTAGGTTCTCAGCTACACTAGAGCTTCCAAAATCCTTCAACAATTAGAACTTCTAGGCTTTCCCTTATTCCCAGCAATCTCAGAATTTCGGTATACCCAGACTCAGAACTTCTGACCTTCCCCACTTCTGCTA